CTCCTGGGTGGGAAAGGCAGAGAGCGCATGGGGAGCTTGGTTCTGTCATCTGTTACCAGTGGACCATCTGCGCCAGCAGCAGGCAGAAAGCTCTGCTCCTTGTTCTCTCTTCCAGTGGATAAAACCACCTTTCTGTGTCCTGAGCATTTTTCACCACCTCAGTCACCCGAAAATGTAGCCTTTCTGACGCTGTGCTTCCATACTCCTGCCATGCTTCATTTCCACCCATGGTCATGAGCTCGATGTGCACCTCTCCGTCACAGGCCGGAAAGCCCCAGTAACATGATTGGCCTCTACGGGCAACCCCCTTTTCTTCATCGTTGGGATTATTTGAACTTGAGACAATCAGCTGTGCTTTTAGAGTTTCGCAGCAACAGAGACCACAGAGGCAGCTTGAGGCAGGGCAAAGGGCGAGACGCTGAAGGAGAAGGAAGGAAGGAGAAGGAAGTGCCTTCTCCAAAGAGGAACCTAATTCAGAGGGTGTTGAGGGGCTTCCGTGAGGTCACGTATTCACTCACCAAATGTCTGTCAATGGCTGGCATTGCCTCCCAAAAGCCCCTGGGTGCTCAGGAGATGAGGACCTCACACTTCTGAAACTGTTCACCCTATCCCCTTCCACATCCTCTCTGCATCCTCCGGACACCTGGGTCCCCTCAGGACAGGTGACTTTGAGCCCCACAATTTCAGTGGCATCAATTCTGGTCACCCTCCAAACACGGAGAGGGCAGGGGAGCGGGGAGATGGTGTCGTTGGCTTTGGCCAAAGGAGACATCAGAGCTCTTCACTTAATAAGGCCTTTAATTTATCTCAATAAAGAAGAGGCTACACACTTAACCACTGTGGAGAGTACCTTATTGATTGGAGGAGAGAGGCTCTGGCCTGCCTGCCCAGGGATGCGCGGGAGCCAGGCCAAGCCGGTCCCCGGGGGCAGCCACCAGGGTGTGAAGTACTTATGAGAGGTCCTCTGAGCTCTGAGAGGCACCAGCACTGTCCCAAAGTGGCTCCGCGGCTTCCGGGGCTGGGTTTTGGAGCTCACGGTTGCCCTCCAAGACAGTGTGGTTGGTGGGAAAGAGACGAAAGCCATAGGAGTGGGTTTTAATGCCAGCCGTCCCCCAGCGTGGGCAGTCCATCTGCCGGTGAGCCCGACTTCCTGTATCTGCACAATGGGGCCAAGGACTCCAAGCTCACAGGGTTCGCGGAGCTCATGTGAGGTAAGTGTGCAGGAGTGCTTTGTGCGTGGTGAATCTCCACGAGGAGAGGGCGGTTTTCTTACGTGTTATTTTGATAGACATACGTGAGATGGTGCTGCTTTCCTTCCTAATACTCACCCATGGCTGCTCGCTGCATTTGGGACAAAATCCATACTCCGTGTGGTGACCTCCACCTCCTTTTGTACAACCACCCTCCCCGCCCGCCCCACCACCCGCGGGTCTGTAATCATTCCCGCAGCAGGCCACGCTCCCTCTTGCCTCAGGGCCTCTGACTTTCTGTTCCCTCTGCCTGGCACACTCTTCCCCAAGTGTGTCCCCTGACCGGGATCCTTTACCTTCAGATCTCAGCTGAAATGTCAGCTCCTCAGAGAGGCCTGTCCTGACCACGCTCCTCACACCTGGAACAGCACCTGTCTCTATTCTCCTCCTAGAAATAAAGACAAGTCAGTGTTTTTATGTGTTCACTCACTTGTTCATGGTCTTCTGCTTGTAGGTTGTTGGCTCTGGGAACACAGGGATCTCGTCTGTTTTTGTTCAGTGCCAGGTCATAGCAGGCACATAGTAGGCACTTTAAACAATTGTTGAATGAATGGATGGGTGGGTGGATGGATGGATGGATGGATGGATAGGTGAGTGATGGGCAGGGATATCTGGCTTGTTTCCCAAGTGACCCCTCTTCCTCACAGCTGTTTCTCTCTCTCTCTCTCTCTGTGTCTCTGTCTCTGTCTCTCTCTCTCTCTCAGATATGGAGATATGGTGCCCAAGACAATTGCAGGGAAGATTTTTGGTTCCATCTGCTCCCTGAGTGGTGTTCTGGTCATTGCCCTGCCGGTTCCTGTGATTGTTTCCAACTTCAGCCGGATTTACCACCAGAATCAGAGAGCCGATAAACGCAGGGCACAAAAGGTAAGCCTCAGCCCTGGGAGGCTGGGAGACAGCACCAGACAAGGGCCTGGCTCTCTGCTTTGTGCCGCTATCACAGTCAGGTCGCCAGGCCTGGACTGCCCGGGTGGATCCCAGCACAGACAGCCCCTGGCTTTGGAAGGTAAGGCAGCTTTGTGTCCCTCCCTCCCTACCAGTGTCCTGCGTTCCAGCTGCCAAGTGCAACAGACCCTCATTTATCCATAAGCTGATGATCTCCCTCCTGGATGTTCCACGCAGTTTCCTTGAGCCCAGGTTTCCCCTTCAAGACCTCAGCCACCAACACTCAGCAGTGCCTGGGCCCCTCCCTCTCCCTGCCAGGAGCTTACTGGGGAACGTCATTGCTTTCCAATACCCTATGACGGCCTATACAAAACATCCGGACAAAACGTAAATGTGCTGAGAAGAGAATGAATACTCAGGAAGGGGAACATCCTGAAGCCACTGAGCTCCAGAACAAACGGCACGACGGACGTGGGTCACCTCAGGGTGTTTAGGGTTAAGGCGCAGAGGTGCAGCTGAAGACCGGGAGGACCACTGCCCTGAGAAAAGTGTTGGCGGTGTCCAGAAGGCAGGTGTGAGAAGGCAGGGCAGGTGGGTGCCCTCCTTCACTCACAGAGGAAGGGAAAGCTCTGATAGCTTTAGTGCACTTTTAGGGCATCCGGCTAGTGAATTGCCAGATTCCTATCAGGAAAAGGGAGGACCAAGGGGGGGGAGGGGGGGGTTGTTCATTTCTCTTCTGACCTGGGCTGAAATAGGGTACCCCTTAACCTCCAGGGCGTACGGTCAGAGCCTTTCTGGGTACAGTGGACAGGGGAGACCTTGTTGAAAGAGTCACTTATGGGGCGCCTGGGTGGCGCAGTCGGTTAAGCGTCCGACTTCAGCCAGGTCACGATCTCGCGGTCCGTGAGTTCGAGCCCCGCGTCGGGCTCTGGGCTGATGGCTCAGAGCCTGGAGCCTGTTTCCGATTCTGTGTCTCCCTCTCTCTCTGCCCCTCCCCCGTTCATGCTCTGTCTCTCTCTGTCCCAAAAATAAATAAACATTGAAAAAAAAATTTAAAAATAAAAAAAAGAAAGAGTCACTTATGGAGGCCTGAGATTTCGTGTCCTTATTTTACTCTTCCTTCTCCTTTCTCCTTCCTTCCTTCCTTCCTTCCTTCCTTCCCCCTTCCTTCCTCCCTCCCTCCCTCCCTTCCTTCCTTTTCCTTCCTCCCTCCCTTCCTCCTTCCTTCCTTCCTTCCTTCCTTCCTTCCTTCCTTCTTCCTTTCTCTCTTTCCACAAACATTTTCACACCTACTGTGTGTCAGGCCCTATGCTGCATGCAGCTGGGTAGTTTTCTCACCCCCTGATCCCTGCTACTGGCCTTCCAGCAAGCAGGACTTCCTTGACATATCAGAAAAATCCAGAATTTCAGAACATATCTGTGTATGCTGACTGAAACGAAGTCACAGAGTTCATGAAAGTTCTGAAATGTATGGTAATTTACGTATAAAAATACTTAATAATATATATTATGCAACTATATCATGAATCCAGTTGGCTCCCACTTCTAACAGATCCCCTTGTGTGTGCCCTTGTGGTCACCCCCTCCGCCTGTGCTGAGGTGCCTTTTGACTTATCTTGACCTGGGTCTGTAATGTTGCCAGCCTGCCTTAGGTTCATCTTCTTGCTCCGTGCTGTCCTCTCCATCCTCTCCAGCACCCATTTCCTACCTTTTTGCCCAGGGTCCAAGCTTTCCCACCCCCACCCCCTGTAAGCCATCCCAGAAATAGAAGTCTTATCTTGTTCCCTGTTCAAGTCAGCTGGCAAATGTGAACAATATCTAAATTCATTATGCTGTCCTAAAGAAAGGGCTACAGGAAAACTAGGATCTGCCTTCTAAACCAAGGAGCCTGAGGCCTTGAAGAGCCGGGGGTCCTATAGCAACCCCCCCCCCCCACCCACCCAGGAGCTAAGCTGAAACAGGTGTTTGGTCTAGTGGGTGAGGGTCCAAGGAATCCCCAGCTCACACACTAGCCTCCTGCTGTGTCCACTCAGACTGGGCTTTAGGCCGCTCCTGTGGCTCCCTTGCCCTCTGTGCCCTCTGTGCCCTCTGTCCCTCAGAGCATCACATCCCCTGCCATTCTGCCCCTGCCAAGAACAGAACAGTGGTCCTTTCCCGTGGAACTTTAAAAAGCCCACCCCATACAGAAGGGATCAGCCTTGGCCTATCCCTCCCTCTGGCTGCTAAAGATGATCCTCCCTCCCTTCTGCCTCCTTCCCCACCCTCTTCTCTCTCCCTCTGAAATCAGAGTAAATAGTTACAGTGTTTTCACCTTGCCTGGATACTGTCTCTCCTCAAGGTTGCTCAACTGTCTCTTTCACCTTGGGCTTCTTCTGAGAGGCAAAAAAAAAAAAAAGAATACAAGAATACCGCCTGCTTCCAGCACTAAGCCTGTCACCATGAGGCAAGGAAGGCAGGTACAGAGGATGTAGTGACGGTGGAGAAATGGGACAGGCAGGAGGTCATGGAAGCTGAGAATTCTCAGCCCAGACCACATACTCAGGAGCTAGACAGCCCTGAGGGTTAGCTCCAGTCCACTTGCCTCAGGTGTAAAGGAAATGCTTAAAAAGTTATCATCCTTTCCTGTCACAACTGGTTTGCTTGGGATTGTTACTAAAATGGCTCCGTGACCATTTGCTTCAGAGACTAGGTTCTCGAAGCCGCGTGAATTGGAGACCAAGTAAGGAGGTCTAGCAGCGGACAGAGAGAGGGGAGCATGTGGAGTGGGAGGGTTTTTTTCAGTGGAGATTTTTATTGAGATAATTATAGATTCACATGTAGTTATAAGATTATCACAATCAGGGTATGGATGTTGATACAATCCACCAATCCTATTCAGACTTGCCCAGTTTTACTTGTACTCATTGTGAGTATGTAAGTGTGTGTGTGTGTGTGTGTGTTTGTGTGTGTGTGAAGTCTGATACAGTTTCATCACCCATGCAGGTTCATGCACCTGTCACCTCAGTCAAGGTGCTGAACGGCTCCAATCCATAAGGGCTCCTCTCAGCCTACCTCTACCCTGTCCCTAACCCCTGGCAACCATTTATCTGTCCTCCATCTACATGTTTTCCTTTCAAAAACGTTACATAAATGGAGGTAACCATTTGGGAGATTGGTAACCGTTGGGAGATCGGCTTTCTTTTCACCTCACGTAATTCCTGGAGACTCATCCAAGTTGTGTGTGTCAATAGTCCATTCCTTTTTCTTGTTGGGCAGTATGCCATGGCATGGATGTATCCCACGCCACGGGATTATAAGAACCACGTTTTTAGCTATTATAAAGTACTGCGAACGTTCACGAACAGGTTTTTGTGTGGACGTAAGCTTTAATTTCTCTGGCATGAGTGCTTGGGAGTACAGTTGGCCGTGTTTTTGTGTGGCTTTTCCGTGCCTTCCTCTTTTTCCTTCTTCTGCCTCTCCCAGGGCAAGAGATGTCCATACTCATGGCCCAGTAGCATCTGCCAGCCAGCTAGGAAGTGCTTCCTGGGGCCTGACAGATTCTTGAGCACAGATGCATCTGGAACCATACCCAGAGGGACAGCATCTTCCTTCCAGACCTCTCCTTCAACCCTGGAATCTCCATCCCTGTTGAAATTGCAACTTCCTGGGCTTTGCTAATCTGGTTTAGAAACTTGCTGGCAGGAGTTGAAATTGAGGGAAGGAGGAGGGGGATGTTATGGAGGCAGCATTTGACCTGAAGGTTGGAAGACCCTCCAGCCCCACTGCCTGGCCCTGGAGAAGTTACTTCCCCTCATACCCTCAATTTTCTTGTCTTTAACGTAGCCTAGGTGATGCCCACATTCTCTTTTAACCTCTCACGTTGTGCTTATGACCAGGGGAGGAGAGAGAAGCTGACCAGTCCGCACAAGGATGAGCCCACCACAAGGGCCTTACTGATGGATTTCTGACCAGCTGTGAGGGATCTTCTTCCTTCCTGGGTCTTCACCAGCCTTGCTTGAGCTCCTGCTCAGCTCACAGCTCTGTGTTAGACGCTGAAGATAAAAATACCCATAGGCCAGACTCGGGCTCTCAGGAGCTCAAAGTCAAATGAGAAATCCTCACCAAATTTCATGTGCTGGGTATGGTTCTGCAAATACATTGCAGACCTCTTTATCCTGTGTGGGAAATGATTAAACAGCGTTGTGCATTTGATATGACAATCTGTTGCTCTAATAGAGCCCAGGGTAAGATAAGATTAAAAGAAGTGCCACAAAGGAGAACAGGAGAATCTTTCATCTCTTGAAAGTAATGAAGACAGACCCCGGATCCGGGAAAGGTCTGGCTCTAAGTGGTGCAATCAAATTATAGAAGGCAATAATGAGCTTGACACAAGCGGATTTCCATATGCAGCTCTCAATACCCAGTCCTCACCCAAGGCAATAGCAGCCGCATCCTCAAATGGTGGGCAACATGCTTGAACGTAGACATCTTGGCCGAGGGGAGGGCTGGCGCGGGCTCCCCAGGGAGGAGACCTGGAGCTGGGATGAAAGTTCTTTCCTCAGAAGAAGAGGACTGACAGGGCTTACTCACCATCCTTTCTTGGCTGGATTCCCCTTTCCATTCTCTCCATCCAGAGAAGCCCTCTTCCTCAGATTCCCAGGTAGATCTTCCGGGCCCAGGTCCTGGTCTCGTGCCCATATTTAGAAGCCAGGAAAGGGAGTTGAGCTGTCCCCACAGGGACACGTAGGCCACAGGAAACAAGAGATACAGTGTGTCCTTTGTGCTTCTATTGACAGCCTGGATCTGACTCCCTAGCATCTTTTGAGCACGTGAACCAGCCAAGCAGGACACTTGGAAGGGACACTCCCCCGTGCTGGGGAGAGAGTGACGAGAAATGGAAATTGCCACGATTTTCCAAGGGCGCTGGTCCTGCCCAGTGTCCATGCCGAAGTTACAGGGGACTTCCGCAGAGGCAGGAGGAGGGACCCCTCTGCCCCAGGATGGGTCTGTGAGTCCGTGGGCTCTGCTCCCAGCGGCAAGGACCTGGAGCCGGCCCTGGATCTCCAGGAACCCGGACTCTCGCTGCATTTTCTTAAACCAGCAGGAAGCCCTCTACCCTTCCTTTCTCCCTCTTCTCCCAAAGACTCTTCCCTTTCAGCCTCCCTCTGTGGTTGTGCTGCAGTCATGGTGACACTGATTATGGTCATTAGGAAGGAAAAGAACAGCAGCATGTTCAGTGTGTCCAGCCTCCCGGGCCTCTGCAAGCAAGACAGATGCACTTGCATTGAGATACCGGCCCTAGTTGTCCTAGTTAAAGCCAGAGTGGCATATGAAAATGTGCCCCACCCCACCCCCCCGTCATACACACACCGACCCCCATGTCACATGCACCTGCTCTCATTCCCCCAGACACACGTGACAAAAATATACATGTATTGGCACATCCATGCATGAATCCACTCCCCAAAACCGAAATGCAACTTTAAGTACACTTATTAATTTAAAAATTCCTAGGCATTGGGTACATATCAGTGAACAAAACAAGAACTCCTGTCCTCAAGGAGTTTACATTCTGGGGGGACAGTTGCAAAATAAACATAGAAACCAATTACTACCTTAGTAATAAGTGCTAAGGGAAAAAATAGAAAGAAGGGAAGATGTTAAGAAGTGGTGAAGGGCACATATGCACACACCTTGCTTTCCTCATAATTAACTGATCCTTGGGCACCTGCTGGATGGGGGGAACCGCACTGGACCCTAGGGGACAATCGGGAGAGCTGTAACGTATGCTCCTTTATACCTCTGGCAGTCTAGTTAGAGATGAGACATACTCTAATGTGATACTGAGTAGATAAAGGTCATAAAGCTTTTGGAAGGAGGGAGGACTTTGATGAGTGGTATTTCTCCTGCCGGGATTCCACCAGGGCTCTCCACCAGAGAGACGAGTGGAAACCCCCAGGAACTCTGACTAGGACCAAGCTGCACTAAGTGGGTACACAGAGTCTCAGACCCGGTCCCAGGATCTATAAACAGAGATCCGTGCGGCCGGGAAGAAGCCACTTCCTCCCCTTCATCAGACCTCATCTGGGATCTCAGCCGTGCAGGGGCAGCCCGCTGCCTCTGGCTTTTCCTCCCAGGCTTGTTGTCTCATTTCTCAGTCTCGCTCACTCTTTTTTCTCTGCCGATTGCAGAAGGCTCGCCTGGCCAGGATCCGCGTGGCCAAAACGGGCAGCTCCAATGCCTACCTGCACAGCAAGCGCAACGGACTCCTCAATGAGGCACTGGAGCTGATGGTAGGCACCGGCGGGACCCGGGCTGGGGAGGTGGGCTTGCTCTCTCTTCCCAGGGGCACCGCCACCCCAAAGCCCCAACACGAACCCTAAGGAAGACATGTTTCCAGACTCTCCAGGGAGCAGCCCCGTCCACAGACCTCTCCCATAGGATTATCACCACTACCCCTAACCCAGCTGTAGACCAAGGGCCGCCAGCCCGAAAGCTAGCATGTTCTATGATGACCCTGAAATTTGGTCCATCCCGATTTTTCTGGTGCTCTCCCACCTCCTGTGGAGAAGTGAAGTGATGGAGACGGGAAGAGTCACCAGCTTCATCCTTAGCCTTTTTTTTTTTTTCTTCCTAGGGCACCCCAGAGGAGGAGCACATGGGCAAGACCACTTCACTCATCGAGAGCCAGCACCACCACCTGCTGCACTGCCTGGAGAAAACCACTGTGAGTCCCAGCCCAATGCGCTTCTTCTCACCCCTACCCCCGACTCTTTTCTGAGGGCCAGAACTCACAGAGAACTCTATGCGAATGGCCTCACCCTGGGCCCAGGCTTCAGAAGTCGGAGTCGCCTTTAGATCCAAAAAGTAGCAATGGGTTCTCTGTTAACCCTCAGGGGGAAAACCCCAGTGAGTGGGGCACAGTCACCCGGGTAGAAGGCCAGCTCTGTCCTGCAGCAGCGCAGGAGGTCGGTCCCCCCACCCCCAGCCTTTCTGCAGACCCCTACATAGTCCCCATAGCCCACTTTGTGATCACTGAGAGCTAAGGGCTCCGCCTCTCCGTTTCTCAGTTCCAAAGGCCATCACTCTTCAAAACTAAGGCTGAATTTATCCTAGATTGTTACAGAAGAGTGGAGAAGGGCGTCAGTTTTTGTCCTATCCCTCGGGCTAGGTTGCTGCAATTTGTGAGTCCTTCCTTTGCTCCCTACATAGCTCTTAGGACAGAAGACAGTGAATGAAGGAGGCAGTGCCTACATTTCTGTGGCCAAGGATGTTATCAGTACAACCGCTTCTTCATCACCCTGTGGCTCCCAGGGAGTTCAGACTCCACAGGGCTTATTGTTAAAATAGAGCCGTGGTTTAGGATGCCGTAGCTGGAATGTGGCATGATGCTTGTGCCTCACAAACAGACTGAAAGGAAGGGCAGTGGGACCAAGCCTGGACCCTTGGCAACAAGTGTTAGGAATAGCAGGGAAGAGGAGAAGTCAGGGTGGACAACCAAAGAGAGACACGGTGAAATCCTTCCCCGTTCCTTTGTAGGCCCTCCCTCCCCAGAGAGCCCATGATCAGGGCTCAGCACCCTAAGGAAGGACCTTTCTACTTTCCGAATGTTCCATATCCTGGCCTCTAGATGCAGGGGGAATAGATGTTAGATACCTCCAAGTATGAGCCAAATGTGGACACTATGGATGGCAGTTGAACCCAAAGAGGGCTTCCAAAATGGGAAAGTACTCTGAAAACCCTAGTTTCCCGGATTTATCAACTATGTCTGACGGTCAAGAACTGTACAGGTGCAACTAGAATTTCTCTCAAAGACTCGGAGCTTGCCAACGGGATAGGCCCGGATCCAACTGCCCTTTCCGAGTTGCATGTGCTGGGTGGAATGTGTCAACTGAAAGGATGTGGGTAAAAAGATTTGGGTTTGAAGGGCTGGAATGTTGGCATTGAAGAAATGAGGCTTTGGGGCCGGAGGGACAGAATGCTGGCATTGAAGGAGTGGAATGCTGGATTTGAGGGATTGAATGTCGGACTGTGGGGGTGGGGGGCTGGGGTGAAAGAGACGGAATGCTGGATTTCGGGGTGGGGGGGCGGGG